ATACTCAATCCGCCACTGCACCGTCAGCTACACCTTTTTCAGAATCAGCTTTGTTGTCCAAGTGTGTTGGACACATGAGGAATTTGACTGGTACAGCGGCTCAGCGTGCATGTACCGTGTTCTTCTGTAAAGCACCGAGTAGACAAGATAAGACAGAACAAGAAAAGAAAAACATTGTGCATTAGGAAAAACAAAGGGATAAGACAGAGAACAAGAAAAGAAAACCAATGTGCATTAGGAAAAACAAAGTACGTATAAATGTTCATATACACAGTTTGGGTGGAGGTTTTTCAGATCAAAAGTAAATGTACAGGTAAAGAACTGAGGGTTCTGTGGTCAGAGCCACGGCCCAGGGGAAGAAACTGTCCTTGTGCCTGGTTTTCTTGGCGCACAGTGACCTGTGGCTCCAGAGGGGATGGGTCCAAACATTTTGTGTCCAGGTGAGAGGGCTCTGCAGAAATCTTCTCTCCTTTTGAGCCATGAGGTGTACAGGTCCTCCACGGTAGAGCAGGCTGACACCGACGGTTCTTTCTGCAGTCCGACCATGTCCTGTGTGGTTATCTCTAAAGGGTGCAAGAACCTCAGCAGACTACATGAAATACAAAACGTAGGCTTTCTGAGCCAAACTATCTGGTCTGTAGTTCAGGCACTTGGGGGGCGGCTGTGGCTCAGGAGGTGGAGCTGGTCGTTTCCTAACCGGAGGATTAGCGGTTCGCTTCCCGGCTTGTCCAGTCAACATGTCGAGGTGTCTTTGAGCAAGACACTGAACCCCCAGTTGCTCCCGGTGATGTCACCGGTGTGTGAATGTGTGTGTGTTAGTGCGAATGGGTGAATGACCAAATAGTGTGAAAGCGCTTTGAGTGCGCTGTACAAGTATAAGACCGTTTACTTAAACCTACAGCCAGGCACAGTTTTAATGAGAACATTTTACAGTCAGAATGTTTCTCAAATAATTGGACTGTTTAGTCTAATTATACAAATAAATTAGCTACTAGGTGGCAAAAAACTAAAGGTCTCCCAGCTCCCCAAGAAATCCCAATCAAATATTTCCACCCATTCTGAGCTAAGTCCCCACTTTTTCTTGGCCTCCTGCCACAAAAGAAACCGGAACATTGAAATATTTGGAGAAGGCTCCGCGGCCTAGTTCAGAGGCCATATGTCAAACTCGTTAATCTAATCCAGGGTCGGCTTCAATGTCCGCAGCTGTAATAAACATCCAGGCTGTGCTTACTACAGGCCAGGACAGGAGAGCGGGTCGGGGTCCTCGGTGATGCCAGCCTGGTCATCAGCTACGCAAACAGTCTGGTCTGCGGCGGCCCCTTCACAAAACGAATTAAACCATTAAAAAGTGTCAAGACTTCACACATTAACATCGGAGCGTTGTAATCAACAGCCGACAGAGCTGTGTGTGTTTGCGTGTGTGCGCGTGTGATCGTCAAATTAGAGGCCATTGACTAAAACGTCAGTGTTTGCAGAGAGTGTGAATGTGTACCAATCCAATTAAGAACAGTGTTTTATGAGCTGAGGGGGAAATCACATTGTAATACTGGAAATAGTTCCTCCCGTCGCCAGTGGGTTAGGGTTGGGTTGGGTTAGTGTTGGGGGGAATAAACACTTCAAGGTAAACAGCTACACTTCTTAACAACTAAAAGGTTTGAAGGTCTAATTAATTAAAGGCATTGTTTAAACTAACCCTGAGTTACAAATCATAGCCTGCCTGTTTTACATGTTCTGCTTTATGTGCTATAAATAAATAGCTCCACTTTGTGATGCTTCACTTTATCTTGATAGAAACTAAAGCATCATTCCATGGGTCCTGACTTTCCCCAGCTGTCCGTGAAGCAGGTTTTCCGCTAGTGGGCGCTCTTGCCTTTCGAAAAAACCTTGATGTGCACCAGTGCACCCGACAGACACACACAGCACTGTGGCTCAGTACAGTCTGGTGTACGAGCCTTATGGGAGCAAATGTTTTCTCCTTGTTTTAATTATGAGCCCATCCACAGAAACTAGGCTATAAACACGTTTAATTTACACGAAGTCTGGTGTGTTTAGTTAACGGGAGGTAACAGGAGGCTGTGTGAGACACACTGACTGACACACAGCACTTTACATGGTAGTGACGTTCACCTCTACAATTAGTATGTGTAGGCCTATTAATGGAAACGGGATTTACATTAGAGTTGTAGGATGATTCACACAGCTTCCTTTGAACAAAGCTCAACTGTCATTTCTCCCCATTTTGCTCACAACTAGTCACCATTGTGAGCCAGTTGCCCTCCTTGACTGACAGCAGAGGTTTTATTGACTTCAACGCCCAGGGACCAATCAGCGGCGGCGTGGGGCGGGGTCTGAACAAAACCAGCATGACCAAATATTCCCAGTCGCGGTCCTTTGCAGTTACTTTCCATCCAGGTTTCGGAGCAGCGCTGTGGCTTCATCCCTACATGTCGGTGCGGGCGTTTGGGGCCGGATCTGCAGGACTCAGCCGCACCACTTGTTCTGGGGACATCTAGTATGAGAACTTCCATTCCAACTCCTTTGATTTCTTTCATTCTCATGTTTGACCATTTTCTTCATTTTGACCATCCGACCTCGTTGTTTCGCCCTTCTCATTTTTCCGCTGCTGCCACCCACAGTGTGTTGCTCACCACCACCACCAGCTGAAAGGGGGGATATCTTACCATTCCACCACCAGCCATCCCTGTCCGTTGCTCTGCTGCTGCTGCTGCTGCTCTGGATTTTCGCGTGTGCTGCTGGACTATAACGCACAGGGATTTATACTTGTATTGATTTCCACTTGCCGCCCGATCCACAGCGGACCCCACCGCTTCTTCTTTCTGAGGAATGTATTACTGCGCTCCAAACAGGGGAGAATTTTAACGCACAGTCTGCTGAATGAACTGCTGCCGTGCGCCTTTGGTTTTTGGAGCAGGTCTCTCATCTGGAGATGCTCTGATTGGGCTTTGTGGTCCGTGCGCATCCCCACTGGATCGGGATATAAGGTGAAGAAATTGCCGCGGTCAGCCATTTGTGGAGCGCTTATCTGTTTGATTTTTTGTGGACATACACATTGGGTTGTTTTGAGACGGATTGTGCGCCCACCCAGAGACACGCAGGGTAACAATGGGGGACTCGGTGCGGAGATATTATTTTGGAGTTTTGCTTATTGCCTTCAAAGTGGACGTGTGCCGGGCGCTCATCCTGGAGTCCATCTACTGGAACACAACAAATACCAAGTAAGTGGAGCACAAGCCGCGCTGACTACTGGCCCCTGTAGTGCCGTACGCACTCCCGTGAGGAGACGGTTTCACGCCAGACTCCGTTGAAAAATCAAGCAATTTAATGTTGGCTTCTTCGCCGCCCATGACTTATATACGTAAAATAGCAGGAGGTAATGTTAGGTCGTTTTACAGACGCAGTCTTCACTTCACCGAACGTTACGTAGAACAAAGAGTGTTACTCTCACAGCCCTTCTCCAATCCACACACCGTGGCGATCTGTCGGATACGCAGTTTGAAAAGTCAGATTTGGTCCTAAATAACAGTTGGTTGCCTGTATGTCGACAGAACCTTTATGGTTCGGAAAAATCAAAAAGCATTCCCTACCTGCTCCGTAGTTTAACTCCCACAGTTTAAATTGAGTTTGTTTTTGTTTGTTGGTTTTGTATTATTACTGGAACATGGAGGAGGAAGCCGCACAGGATAATACGCTAAAAAGGTAACGCCAGTCTTACTCATCCAGAGAAGGATGACAAGGGGAATCGAGCTCTTGTCTCATTACTTTAGTTCTCACCCAACAGACCTACTGTTTGTGACACCACTGGGGGATATTTACGCGCAGACGGCGATCGGCCCGCTTGGTCGTGCGTTATGGTGTCACTCAGCAGTACATAAAACCGCCTCAGACGCAAACTAGTTTGTCTAATTCCTCCTGGGCATATTTATGTGAAGCCACTGACAAATGCACAATGCAGCTAATTTCGGCGATGGGCAGGGAAAATCAATTTGAAGGTAATTGTTTTTGCTTGGCTTCCTCGGTCAGTAACTTCGGACAGGCATTTTATAGCTTCTCATTTGACTGTGAAAATTCCCGCACATAGGATCAGACAGCAGATGTTATTTTTGTCCACTATAAAGAAAGTAATATTAATAAGAGAAATGCAGGAGAGATGAGTGGTTCGTGCCGAGGCTGCGGCTGCATGGAGGTGGTGGGGCGCTCGACCGGGCCTCTGATGCTCTGTTTTACAGTTAAACCTTTGCTGAGCAACGTGGAAACATTTAGAGATTATTATGCTGGAAATGTGCACAATGAGGTGACAACTTTTAATAGAGCACAGCGCGCCCCCGACCCGCTGCTCTTCAGCCATTTCCCACAATTCGGACTAGTGAATGTCAAGCGCCACAGTGGAGCTCGGTGGATTTGGATTCAGGTGAATTCAGTATGTGGCTGTTTTAAACAGCGCATCAGCCGTGACCTGCTGTGGGGGATCATTAGGGGGAGAGGTGAAAAACACAGGCAATGCAACTTTATTCACGATCAAGTAGATCCATTTGCCTACTGAATATTCATACAGGTCAAGAAACGCGGTTCAGTTCTTTTCTTCAAACAAAAAGGTGTCTTTCTCCTCCTCCACAGCCCTGGTCTCAGCCCGGCGGGGGGCGCCCCTCTTTGTGGCCGTTTGGTCACGGCCGGACTCCAACTCGCTCAGTAATTCAGTTTTTGGCTCCGGTACACCCCCCTCTCATTTTCTCTCTCCTCTTTTCCACAGAACATCATAACGTCTGTTCAGGTGAAAAATGCTATTCATTTGTGTCGTGCGTAACTTTGTGCGCTCGGCCTTTGTTCATGTGTTGTTCCGTGTATTTAGAGAGGCAGGACTGAGCCCAGGCGTTCTGTATGCAGCACCATGGGCCTTCCGGCCTCTTGACTGCCACGGCCATCAGTGTCACACTGCGTTTGTACCGACGCTGTCCACCCAATGAAGCACCATTTTATACGTTTACCTCTCTTTAAGATAGAAGAGCGGGAAATGTTCCGGATTAATACTGGTTGAGCTTTTACTCTGGACACCCACTTTTCATCCCAAATGGCACGAGCAGTTTCACATGAGCCGCTGTGTAGATTATGCCATTTGATGACCAGTTGGTCTCAGCAGAGAGACTGTGGCAGTGAAATCGCCCTTAAATGGTTCTAGCAGGAGAAACGTATCTGATTTAGTGTCATGTAAAGACAGACAGACCTAAGTCTGAATCTAATGTAAGCTGGCAAATCCCATCAATTATAAACACTGCAATGAGCATTTTTTAACTATCCTGCTATGTAGACATTCTTCAGTTTGCTTCCTGGCAGACCTTTTTCTATAGGGACCAGCCAACAAGTTAGTTTGTCCTTTTCAAATGCTTTTCTCATAGAGCCACAAATAGCGTCTCCATTTTGGCGCTGCTGCCTGTGCACATTAGTATGTCATTTCACTTGGCACGTCACTTCTGATTTTGAAGAGAAGCAAACCAAACTTAGTCCATCCTCCGAGGCCTTAAAGCAGCAGGCAGTCCACTGAATTAGTGCGTGTGCGCATTCTTTGCGTTGTGTCTGGGTGAGGATTTAGAAGTAAAAGGCCAGGGAGTGATATGACTGTGTCACTGTGCTCCCACACACACACCTCACTCTTTTTAGGGAAATGTCCCTTTGTAAGCGGTTTGTATTTATTTTTATTTGTATTTTTATTTTTTGTGAGAATTATTTCAAGTTCTCTGGTAGAAATCAAATCTACAGACTAAAATATTTGAGATGAAGCGCTGGCACCAACTAAAATCTTCTTTTCCTTATTATCTTAGTACACACAAGTCAGACTTTTTGAACTTCCACATATAAAAACTGTATTTCGTTGCCTTGTACTTGTACATGGGTAATACAGTTGAATCTAATCTAAAAATGTAAAAGCATTTATTTGTCTTGTTCAGTGTATGTCTGATAAATAGCCTTCCTGTGAATGTGAGCTGAATAAAGGACACCCAAATACTTAGTCCTCATGCCCCAGTAACATAGACCCCAGAGTCAGAGTATCTTAATTCTGATTTAGCAGGGCAGCAATATGCTCAGCAGGCCAAGCCGTCCCTGCCTCGGCGTCTCTCTTAGCCGGCCCTCCCAAACGACGATGAATGTTAGAAATGTGAAGGATCCGGGCCAGTCTATAATGTCTTTGTGTGTGCTGCCTGGGGGAGAGGATAAAGCAACAGCTAGGCTCTCTCTGTGAGTGTGAATATGAAGAGCGTGTGTGTATGCATTGATAAAAAGAAAATCATCCACAGGGTCCACAGCTGTGTCGATTAAACCTCACTGTTGTTTGGGTTTTACTACGTTACTTGGTTGTATTCATGAACCTCCTAAGAAAGAAATACAAGAGAGTGACCCCACCACCTCCTCCCTCTCTCCATTCCAGTCTCCCCAACACACGCACGCACACACACACACACACACACACACACCTCCTTCTTCTGGTAATCCATTTTGTAGTTGGGAGGGAGAAACAAAAGAGGGGCCTGCTTTACATGGTTTATGTATAAAGAGTGCTCCCTCTCCTCCGCTGCAGTTCATTAAGAGATTACATAGAAGCCCAAAGGCCCTTTGTGACCAGGCAGTGACAGGAGCACCTCTTTGCGTCTTTATATGAATGTGTGTGTGGCAGTTCAGGGGATGGGTGGGCATAGAGATGCAGGTCCATCAGAACTGAATGATGAGGCCTTGTACTGAACGTCCCAACCATACCTCCCTCTTCCTCCCTCCAGGCCCCCGATTCTGCTTTTTTCTTTTCTGCAGTTGTTTTTGGACCTGAGACAGAAACAGATCAGTTATTTTAATGTGGCTATATGGAGCAGCAGTGAGGGTGAGGGCAACAATGGAAGGAGAGAGCGAAATCCTGCCATGTTGTTCACACTGTTAGCGAGGGTGGGGTGGCTTTTTTATAAGTACTGCCTAGAGAAAACCTGATGATTAAGATTGGTTAATGAAATAACACTGAGTGAAAGAATAGGAAAAAGCAAGAGAAATGAAACAGAGAGGGAGAGAAGAAAGCAGCGGGCCCCTTGGGCTGAGGAGGGTAATTATGCCTAGGCCTGCTCAGATCCTATAGACCTGGATTACTGGATGAAAGGCAGGACTGAAGGCACAGACCACAGAGAGAACTGGTGAGAGGATGAAGGGGGTGGATAGGGTGGCAGTAGACCCAGAGACCTCTGTCCCCTCGGCCGACCGGGGGCCAAAGCCAGAACACCACGAAGAACTGCGGGTGGATTAGCCCTCAGTGTGCCCCGGCCTGGCCTCTTTGTCTGCCGTTATAATGAATCCTTACCTTGCAGCTGGGCTTCTGAGTCAGATGGTTGATCTGCAGTGAATATTCAGCTTCCCCTTGCTTCACTTTGTTGTCTCATAACTTCAGGGCCACAGGAAGAGAGGGGAGATTCAGAGGTGGGGGTATGGAGCGATGACATCTGTCTGGGGGGTCAGTGGTGGCAAACCCAAGAGAGAGAGAAAGAAAAGGCCATGAGGGAAAGGGTCTCTAACTGTTTTGTTGTTTTTTCCTGACAACAAATGCAGCGGTCAGAAGCTCAGGAAGTAGGTCCACAGTCCTCCGCATCCTCATGGGTTTTCCCCTTTGCTCCATTTGCCCCACACATTTCCTTTCTCCTCCCCTAACTCCTCACACACATGCATACACGCAGACGAAAAACACACCAAACCTAAAGGTGTGAAGGGTGCTTAGAAGATACATGAGAAAAACAGATGTCACCCTGACTTTCAAGTCTCCACGACTCACCGTGTGAGTGTCGCCAAGCTGTGCGTCTGAACCAACACGGCAAACCAACCGCTTTCACCTCCAGCGCACTCGGTTTGAGCAGTACCCTCAACCTCTTTATGTCCTCAAAAGATCATTTTACCATTATGTGTGTTGCTGTAGTGTGAGCTTCATTTCACACCCCTCTTACCTCAGTGCCAACACAACTGAAAGCAGGCACACATTAGGGCAGCTAAAGACAGGGCCTCTGCTAGACGTGAAGCTGGGGCACGTTAATCTGTATGCAGATGTTTATTTCAGCATACATCAAGAACAGGCGTAAAGGTCTGGCCCTGTACTGCACATTTCTTTGCATAGTTTTACAATAACAACTACATTGATTGTCAAGCAGCCCCAAATTTAAACTTCCATGAAAAACGAATGTATGAATAAATCATTAATTTA